CGAAGTCGGACGCCCAACCAACTGAGCCACCCAGGCGCCCCAATGGACCATATTAAACTGAAGAACTCACCAGTAATGGGTTTGGTGCAGGCTTCACACCTTTTGGCATAAAGATGGTTGTAGCAGTCCACACAGAATGGATAATCATCTCTGGACATAAACTCCTCTTCACAGAGCTCTTTCCTACAGCCACTGCATAGAAAACACTCTTTATGCCATGGCTGGTCACGAAATGTTATCCCACCTGAAGTCACCACCTGCCAAAGGACCACAAAGGCAGTGACCATGGAAGCTATTACAGTTCAGACCTGCCATGATCCTCTTCTGTGCCCATGAGTGTACTTTGGGTTACTCCATCCCCTTGTGTCAGGATGTCCTTTCCCTGTGCTTTTTTTTTTTTTTTTTTTTTTTTTTTTTGAATCAATATGAGAATCAAAAGGCTATAAGGATTATGTAGAACTGGCAAAAAATATATATATATGTATATATCCTAATTTCTCTCCTATTGTGGAATAGAAAAGAATTAGGGCCATAACAGACTCAGGAAGATGAAAAAGAAGTAGAGCCCTGATTCCTTTTCTCATCTTTAACTTTCATGTTGGTCTTCAAAGGTCTACCATTAGAACAAAGATATTTTCTATACCATGTTCTTACTTCCATGTCTAGCTTTAAAGGATATTGAAAAAAGCTACTTTTCCCTGAAACCTTTCTTCCAGCAGAAGCAACCCTGATTATTATTGATAAGCACCATCATCCACTAATAATGACTAATATTTCTGAAGTGTGTTTTCAGTCCTTAGTCCTGTGCCAAGGGATGGCCTTTTCTTATGTTCCTAACATCCCGACATAACCAAGACTCTTATTTTTTCCTCCTTTAAAAGGTGAGAAACTATTGAGGGTTACAGTGGTCAGGTCACTTGCCAGGTCACACACTACTAGCATGCAAACCTAAGCTGACTCCATAGCCTGTATACTTAACCAGTAATATAATATTGAGACAAGGTTACTTTCCACTAATGGCAGTTGGTTAGTCCTTGCTGAATTAATGAATAAACACCAAAGGGAAAAACATTTGGATAGCAGTTCCAGTATTATCTCTAGTACAAATGGGGTGCTGTGGCAACTGCGTGGGTTTTCAGCTTTAGAACTCTAAGTAATGAACACAGCTTGTATGTTGAACCTTAATGTGTGATGTGCTAGGGTTGTGTCAGAGAAGCTTATTATTCCGCCATAACATACATACATACACACACACACACACGTGTGTGTGTGTGTGTGTGTGTGTGTGTGTGTGTATCCCCATGGATTAAACTGGCTTATATAAGTCTTTTTAATCCACGAATAGTACTTTTTAAAAGGCTGAGATATCTTTATTTAGAATCAGATGGGTAAATATTGAACAACTCTTCTTGGATAGCAGTTTTGTAGTCCTAGCATCTTTCGAATCCATGGCTATTGAGCTCCTGGAGTAGCTGTGGAAACTGGAATGTGCTCATGTGGTATCTGAGATGATTCCTGTGATCGTTGTATCCAAATTCACTAGATATAGAAAATGTGGAACCTATGCAAAGCCATCTCATTGCTGAAAAAATTTAAAAATGTTGTCTATGACACAAGCTTTTGAAAAGATTATTCTAGGGGTGCCTGGGTGGCTCAGTCGGTTAAGCGTCCAACTTCGGCTCAGGTCATGATCTCGTGGTTTGTGAGTTCGAGCCCTGCGTCGGGCTCTATGCTGACAGCTCAGAGCCTGGAACCTGCTTCAGATTCTGTCTCCCTCTCTCTCTGCCCCTCCCCTGCTCACACTCTGTCTCTCTCTGTCTTTCAATATTAAATAAAGGTTAAAAAATATTAAAATAAAGAAAAGATTATGCTAAAGATATTTTTAAGCCTTACAACAAATCTCTTAAAAATTAAAGATATTTAATAGAAAAGTTATTTTTCCTAAAGGAAAAAAAATGTATACTGTTCTAAATAAGTAAATGGGAAACATAATGGCATGTGTGAACTGAAGCAATTTAAAATACCCCCTACTGATTTCAAATGCCTTACCGCAGGCACAGCAGAATTGAAGATTCCTTTCATTTGTTCAGTCAAATTATTAGCAGGCAATGCTTAAAAGACTCAACACTTGAAAAATGTATTCACAGCAAAATAAAACTTGATATATAGACCAAAGACTATTTAATTAGGAAGAAGAAACTCTGGAACATTAAAAATAGTTTGCTTGTGATTATGTTCCTTTTGAAGAGTCACGCGGGCTAAGATGAAGTCTAACATCTAGGTTTGGTGTTTGCCACTGATTTATCCCAGGATTTGGAACAAGTTTCTTCTCTGGCAAAGTGGACGCAGTATTGGTTTTATGCTCAGTAGACAAGAGCCAATGAATCACAGGACACTCTGGGAAGCTTGAGGAGTTTGAATTTAAAGCACTTGTAGTTTGAGATTACTTGTTTTTGGTAGAAAACAAGTTTTAGTTTCACAAAATAAAATCTATGAAAAAAGTTCTAAGGGCCTGATTTTTAAGTATTTTTTGCCTATTTTGTTTGTGTTATATTTGGTCTCTGGTTTGAGTTGAAACAAATTGTTTTTCTTCAGCTTGGGTCATCTTGATCAGAAACATTTATATCCAGCTTTCCTTGAATGGCTTGTGGTTTTAAAAATTAAATAGAAAACAATCTGGCATGTTGTGGTCTGTCTACTACCCAATATAAATATTTCACAAAGTTTTCATGACTTCAGATCATGTCCTAAATATAGGACAGGCTCCTATAACCTGGGAAATGCCAGTGCTTTACTCTCTAATAGTACTTAGCACTGATGTACTGGAGAAGTTCCCCCTCTGAATCTTTATAGCATTGAAAGATAGTTTATATTGCATTCCCAATAAATGGTTTTGAGGTAATTCCAACAGGTTGCACTAATATTTCAGCTTAAGTATTTAAGAAAAATGACCTGAACATGGCCAATTTATTGTCCCTCAAAACAGTGAGATCAACCTACCATTTTATTCCAAGAATCTGTTTCTAAAAGGTTTGCCATTGACCCTGGTGAGTCTTCTGAGTTTCATATATCGCAGGTTCATAGCATCTGAGGGTTGCTTATAAAGCCATTTTTAAAGTCAGTGTTTCTGGTAGAGTGAAGGAAGTCTCTGGGTTTAAGATAGTTTTACATTATGTTACTATCAATTGTAATTTCGGCCATCATTATAGTATAATCAAGATTATAATCCAATTATTATAATTTAGGAGTTTATTGATGCCTCCTCAAATGCAGTACTCATATTTTAAACATATGTAGAAAGTTACTGTGTGCATATGTTCCCATAGAAAGAGGTAATGAGACTTCTAGCTGTCCAGATGCAATTATACAAATAGTCTTGAGATCTGCCAAAGCAGCTCATAGATCAAAAATGTTTAGACAACACTGCATGCTCATCACAATTTATAGTGCTATTTTAAACTTATGATGTCTCATGGGTCAAGGATTTCTTCAAGTACATCAATATCTATTTTATGAAATACAAACAGGTTTTATCAAAGTGATAGAGAGGAGTGACTTTTCACATAAAAAAAGAATTGGAGAAAGTTTACTTGAAAAGCTTGACTTTTTTTCTTATTGGAAGATATGTTTTCAATGGGTATCCAAGTCAAAAGGCTGTAAATGACACTCTGGAACTGAAGCAAAGGAAACCACTTGCCACCCTTATTCCTTCTTCTGTCTGTATGTCTAATGAATTTCTCTAGTGGTCTTGTCACTCTCTTGAGTCTACCTGTCTACTCATTAGAAATATAAAAGCTTCAAGCCAAGAAGACATTTGTGTTGCTGGGACATAATGTGAGAAGTTAAACATTCTGTTTAAATTGGTTCCCTTAATGATTCTGTGAGACAAATTCATATTCCTATGAAAGGAAAGGGATCAAAAATTATTTTCTAAGAAGTATCTTGTATTCAACAAGAGATGTGTGTCCTCTACCAGAATACATGAAATCTTATGTAACAGCAGCAAATGGAATTGGAATATCTATAGCTTTTGGAACTAAAGTCATGTTCTGGGTAGAATTTTATGATGATAAAAATAGGTGGCCATCTTCACTGTGGCAGGCAGTGTGCTCTTGGACATGCTGGAATTTAAAAGTAACATGAATGTGTAAAGACAGACATAACATGATAGTATCAGTTCATTCCAAATATAGAATGAAGTTAAAAAGCAATGGTCCAGAAGGAACCACAAGCTTCATCCCCTGTAGATAATTACCTTCTTACAAAAGCTGCAGTAGTGAGCAAACTCCTTCTCAAAACACGGTACACAGTAATTGCCACTCTCTTTGGAAATCAAAGGTTTAGTTCCTATTGGCTGTCGGCAATGCTCACACACAAAGCAGGTTTCATGCCAGTAGTTTCCCTTAAATTCCATTTTGCGGGAACCTGTACCCCACAAATAAGAACCTGTTAGTACAAATTAAACATCATTTTTTTAAGTAATGATATGTCAAGTTATTTAGAATATATATTTTAACGTTAAGATGATAAGCTAATTGTCTTTATAGAAAAATAGTGTTTTGTTGGTTTCTAAAACATTTATCTGAAAAAGAAAAAAAAAAGGTAGAGTTCAGCCATGATGATGATGAATCGCTCTTTTACTGAAAACTCTTATGCTGTGTAAGCTACAATTTTGAGATTTGAAAGTACAACTAGTGGAGACTCTGAAAGGCTGCATGTGGGTTAGATAGATTGGGCCATAATTATCAGTATTGGGATATTAGGAATGCCTGGGGCACCAACTCTCAGGATGGATGTTGTGCAGTTATGGTCTTCTAGAAACTCTTTTGAATTCATAATAAGAAAATGAGAGAGAACCGTGTTGTTATGCTGATGTCCAGAGGGATTTAGTAGAGAATCAAAACAGCAAAAGCGCTTGCCTGAAAGTATAATCATGTACATGAATCCTTGTCTTCCCTAGAAGGAATAAAGATGACTGACCCTCAAACTATATTTTGTCCTGCTACAAAATGATGGTTGGCCCCATTCTCCTATGATGGATTATGCTTCCTGATGCCAGTGTTTATGCCTAGGAACTGCTGCTTAATGCACTGTTAGTGTTATTGGTTTAGATTTCATCTTTATGGCTCAGATTGTGGTTGAAAATGCCTGTATGAATTAACTTTACAAAAATACATAGAATGCTGTATTTTACCCATTCAAAACAGAACAAAATGGTCTTTTTATTTCTGAAATACACTAAGTGAAATCAAGAGATAGCAAGATAGATGTCTTTCTCAAAAGTAGGGTTTTCTTAGCTACTATACTCTTCCTATACTTGGGCATAATTCAAAGTGTTACAGCTTCCATTAGAGACCTGAACTCCCTTGTGATCTCACCAGGCATGATGGTCTTCTTGCAGTGGAAGCACTTGGAGGAGCACTCGTTAGAATAACATTCTGAGCACAGCAGTCGCTCATCCTTGGCAGCAAAAGGCTTTTCCACCAGAGAGTGATTGCATTTGGCGCAACTGAAGCATTGTTCATGCCAGTGTCGGCCTTTGTAACAAAGATCCTTCGAGACAGTAAATACGAGTTAATTAAATTTGCTTGTGATAAAACAGGTCATTTTATAAGACTAAACTGAACATTCCTGGGACTCTGGTACCAGTAGTTTGTGCTGGTAGCTTGAGGAAAAGTTGTCATTGATAGTATTACCCATAGAGAGGAGACTCTCTGGGGCAATTAAGAGCTAGAGCCTGGGCTTTCTTAGTTGGTCAGTAAAGACAGATGGAAAATAAGTGAACTTTTTCCTACTCTTTCAAATTTCCTCTCACTCCTTTTCATAAGCTATAAGAGGGGCTTTTCATGGAATGATTCTTATCTTTACGTTGTGATATCCTATTATTGTCTGAGATTAAACAAAATGCCAACACCACAACAAAGACAAAAAAGAAAAAGGAAAAAAATACAATAATGTGCATTGTGAGAGGAATGGACCGTGTCAGGGCACAATGGACTTAGTGGAGATGAGGCTGGTTTGAAGTCAGAAGATATAGATTTTTGAAACTTTAAATTTTCAATTATTTATGTATTTATTCATTTATACTCTTGTCATTCCAGAAATAAATCAACATTTTAGCTGTGTAGCTTTGGGCAAATAACTGAACCTCTTTAATCTTTAGCATCTTAAACTATCTTCTAAGATCACTGTGAAGATTAAAGTATATGCCATATTTCATAGTGCTGAGCATAGTATCTGGCGACCGATGGTAAATTTGAAGATGCTTATACCCAGCAATAGAACAATGTGGTATTAATAGTCAGTACTAAAGGAAACAAGGCATTCCAAAGCATTTGTCTGCTTGTTTGCATGCAATAATTCTGGGAATTGAAGTGAGACCTACCTTGGAATCTGATTCAATTGGTTCTTTGCATTCCTCACAATAGTTAGAAAAAATACGATCGTAACAGGAAACACAGTATGGATTGTCATTCTTCAGTATGTACTTCTTCCCAAGAAGTGATGCTGCGCAGTATTGACAATCGAATTGACCAGTTGTCATTTTGGTTCAGTCTTGTGAATAAGAAAATGATTCATGTTCATAAAAACAATTTTTTTCTAAGATAAATTATAAAGCCTCAATAGGAGTCAAGCATTTGAATGAATTTGTGTCTTACACAAAACAAACAAACAAACAAACAAACAAAACCCCACCAATTAGGAAAATATGCTGTAGTCATGATGACATTTGGGAGTGATTTAGGAAAGGCTACTCTCCTAATTTGGCAGTTCCTGTGTGTTTTGTTAACAAAATGCATTAAGCCTGCAGCCAGATTGTGAAAAACATCTTTTATTCATCATTCACTAATGTGAACTTCAATAAGAATGTGATAGGTGTTGAAAGAGGATGGTTTCACCCCAAGGATATAAATACGAACTGTTGATAGGGCTTTCACTAACTGTCATCACTTACTAACTTGCTGGAGAGTTCTGGAGGAAAGTTCCTTGGAAATCACAACAGTCTCTTTTACTCTAACTGCAATGGAAGTTGATAATCAAGTACATTGTCATTTTCTAGGCCATTCTTTTATTTCTCAAATCTTTATTGGGCACCTAATGAGCTTTCTGCGCGTTAGTCCTAAGATATTCCGTGCTACATACTTTCTGTTGGGACATCCTCCTTACTTGTGGCTTCAACCTCCCCAAATATGATGTTGACTCCAAAATCTGTAGCTAAAGCTACACTTGCCTCCTGGGCATCTCCATTTAGATGGCCCACACTAAGCTGGCAAATAAAATTTCTGAGCCGGTAGGATTTGGTCCAAGTGCTAGGTCTTTATGACTGTTGTTGAACCATTGCCCAGATGTAAAAGTGCAGCCAAACCATCAGTGGTAGAAAAGAACTCCAGGCTTCTTCAAAGTTTAGGACTAAACTAATATGGATATAGAATGGTTAATAATAGCAGCATCTTACAGAACAAAAACCTGGTGTGAAACATAAAGCCAAGGCAAGGATAAGAACTTGAGTTATTCTATAATAGGAAAGCATGAAAGAACAAAACATATGGATTTCAAAAAGTTTAAGTGGGCATTGAACACGAATGTCTCATTGTCCCCCAAGGTAGTACCACTGATTTTCTTGGAAAATGAGACTCGTTACCTCTGGACTTACTAGAATATATTAGGAGCTATGAATATTTTCTAATTCTCCACCTCAGAAATTTGTTCTTTTTAATTTTAGCAAAATCAGAAAATTAGTTATTGTGATGCTTTTTACAGCATTTTTAACGCTATTTTTATTTCATACATTTAAATTGTATTCCCATACATCTTTGCCTTCTTCTATTTTAATGGTTTTTTCCAGCAGACTGTCTTGCTGAATATATATTGTCATTAATTCTATATGTAGCAGTTTTGTTACATTGTTCCTCACTAACAGAGAAGAGACTGAGGATTTGGAACATGTGGAGTTTTTCCCAGGAAAGATGAAAACTCCTACTAGAAAGTTCCCAATGGAACATGCCAAAATTATCTGCAAGGAACATTGAATTCCCTATTTGATTAATTCCACAGAACTGTCCCTTCCAAGTGAGTACAAACACACTCAGAGAGTTAGTGAGGACTTGGAAACAGGAGGAAAATAGATGTGATTCCCTTGAAAGATTTTCAAATGCGAGTTTTAATCACATTTACAATGACCATGTGTTTATCTCTTAATAGTGAAATAAGTTATATACCTTTAACTTTCATCACAATATCATTTTATATATTTTATAAATATATAAATATTGATACCACCATGTATATCAATAAATATAAATATTTCTCTAAATAAGTATCCCCATCCTAACCACATAATAGGTCTTACTCCATAGAGAATTCTTAACAAAATGAACCATACTTAAAAATTTTTTTAAAGAAGAAACTTACTTCTTATCTCATCTTTTCTTTATGGCGACATCAGAGGGTTTGGTAGGGTGAGAACAGTCATTTCAACACCTCAAAACCTTGTGATTTTGCATTTTATAGAACTATACAGTGAGATTTAGTCTAAGTCAATATGTATTGAATATATACTCAGTAACATTTGAACTCCCTGTCCTCCTGAAGTCTGGATTCTTCTAGCTTAACTCTTACTTGGTAATGGTGAATATAATTTGAGGTAAGAGAACAAACTAAATGTTCACTTTCTTATTCTTGGTTGGGAAAGATACACTGAGAAATTCAGCCCTCATTTTCATGAAGTCTCTCATTTAACTATGGATGTATGAACACATCCAAATAGAGTTTCTTAAATAGAGGTGTTATAACCATATAAATGATGCATATTCTACTAGAACCACGGAGTTCTTAGGGAACTAATAGAAAGAGGGTGAGGAGCTATAGTATCAGGAAACCTTCTCAGAAAGACTTTAAGGAAGTTAAGCTGTTGGAACACAGAAAAGAAGGAAGGAGGGAAGGAAGGGAGGGAGGGAGGGAGGGAGGATTGATCTCGATTTGGCAGGAAAGTAAGAGGAAAAGACAAATGGGGGAATGGTATGGGTTCTCTTCTGATGTTGGGAAATGGTGAGTCTTGTGAACAGATTTTCACCTTGGTACATTCAGGATTAAAGAAGACTTTGAAGCTAAAGCTTTTTAAAGCTATTTTAATTTTTTTAAATTGTTTAATGTTTATTTATTTTTGAGAGACAGAGAGAGAGAGAGAGAGAGAGAGAGAGGCAGAGCACAAGCAGGGGAGGGGCAGAGAAAGAGAGGGAGGGAGACACAGAATCCAAAGCAGGCTCCAAGCTGTCAGCACAGAGCCTTATGTGAGGCCTGAACTCACAGACCCCGAGATCATGACCTGAGCCAAAGTCAGATGCTTAACCGACTGAGCCGCCCAGGTGACCCTAAAACTATTTGAACTTTTAATAGAAGCAGTGCTAGATGGGGTGGGGGCAGGCAAAAGAGGCAAAAAAATTCTCCAGCCATATCACCTTTTATCTAACATTATTCCATTCTAAACATCATTCTGTCCTTTTCCTTTTCTTTATCCCTAACATTAATATTTTTAAATACTCGGGGAATAACTCTGTGTCTAGGAGAGCAGACCAAACAACTTGCTTTTTTAATCATTCCCGAATAGGTAAAGCTGTAGGAAAGAGGATGAGAACCATGTGATTCTTACTTCAGGAGCCCTCATCTGAGGATTAATTTGGCAGAGATATTGGGAAAAGTTTTTCTTTCAAATAAATATTTAAAATCATTGAGTAAAGCTCATCTATAATTATGAAGCATAAGAAATCTTAATACTAACAATGTAACCCAATTAGATAGCATTTGACTTTTTTTAGACACAAACTCAGAAATGCTAGTATCAATATCAATTACACATTCTTGTCAAACTTCTTTCAAAGAGGTTATATATATCAATTAAATATATTCTAATCAAACTTATTTCGAAGTCATTCTGCAATTATACAATAGTTTAAGTGAAGAATTTTTATCATTGCATACTGGGGGTTTTAGAAGATTGATTTAGAGATACAATGATATATCAAAGAACCTATAAAAATAAATACCTCAGAAATCCAATGCCTTGAATGGACTTGGCTTTCATTTTCCAGTTCCCACCTTTATTTTAGATTTCTACCTAAAAGGATGTGTGTTCATTGGCAATAGTTTCCATAACTGAGAATGATGTCTCTTAGATGTTATTTTTTTAAACCAGGAATAATTTTGTGTCAAGTTATATTTTATGGTGAATTATTGATTAGATGGCTAATGCTGTGCACAATATATCCACTTATATTTTTATTAGGCTGAGCACAATTAATAGATTAACAAGAAGTGTACTTGAGAGAATGTCAAACAAGAGCAAGGCAGGGACCTGATACCATGCCTGGTATCGTTAATATGCCTTTGTTTGCAAGGCATAATACATCATTCATTTAATCATGCAGTCAATAAACATAAAGTATCTTTTTACTTCCAAAGTAATCTGCCAGAAGTTGTAAAAGACATAAAATAGTAGATTCAAATCCTATCCTCAGAGAATTTATAATATAGTAGGAAAAGTGAGGATATTTTATAAATAAACAAAAGTTAAGAAGTGATCAGGAGAAATGAAAGGTTTTAAGAATTTAGAGCAGTCCTAAACACAGAGTGCACATTAGAGTTTAAAATTTTCCAAAGTGCACCCCTACCCCAAACCAATTAAATCAGAAATTTCTGGAAATAACGGATAAGAATAAGTATTTTTCATGTCCTGGGTGGTTCTAATGTCCAATGAGGTTTGAAAACTACCAATTCATAGGAAGCGGACACAGAGTCACTTTTAGCTAGGAAAAATCTAGGGACAAGTTGGAGAAGGTGGCCTTTAAATGAATCATGCAGTAGATGTTATGGATTTCTTCTCTCAACCTTGGCTTTACCCTTCTAATTGGAGAGGTCAGGAAGCTAAAAATAATTCCTGGCCCCTCTACAGAAGTGTTCAGGATGCAGATTTGGCTCTGCTAACACAAACCATGTGTATAAACTGGAAGATGGAAGGGAAACGGAAGACATGTTCCTGCTGTTGCTGATGCTGGCAGACTGTGTCAGACCTATGTGGGTGCTTTCTACTATTTTGAAATGCCTGGGCTCAGGTTGTCCAGGGTTCAGTGACTAGATTTTTGCCTATGAGATATTGTGGTAATCATATCATTGTGGCAGCTGCAGCAGGTTTCCAACCTCTGTATTACAGAGCAGAATCGATGTAGCGGTGGGAAAAGAGCAGTCTCTCCTATCCCTTGGTATTTTATAATAAAAATACTACCAGTGATCTCTCATATTCCTGTTTCTGAGTGTCAAGCACTGTATTAACCACTTTATGTGGACTGTTTCCTCTAGTCCTCACAATGGCCCTCTAGGTGAAGTCTATTATTATCCTCATGAATAATATTATCCCCTTAAAGAAGAAACCAAAGCTTATTGAGGCCAAGATCACCTGGCTCATAAAAATGCTAGATCAATGCTAGATTCAAAACGACACTTGTCAGAAACTGAAGCCTAGGATCTTAGCCTGTGCAGACCTCTCTTTCC